TCCTACGTATGCCTTTATATCCAGTCATTGACTGATTCTTTTAGCTTCTTTTAGTTAACAGAAGATAGAAAATTTGACCTAATGATAACCCTGCTTTGATAATTGTGGTTAAGATTTGATTGTAGGGCAGATAGGCTGTTGGAGTATACTACGAATTTCCCTTTAATAGTTGTAGCTTCTGTTTTTGAAATAGATGCACCCAAATAGTTAGTCAACCACTAGAGATAAAACAACTAGAATATTATTTGTAATGTTACTTGTTGAATAGGCTATGGAACATTGCTAATATGTTATAGGTGTGTTCTCCAATAGATGTCCGTTTTCGTGTTTAGATGAATAGTACATACATAACTAATATTTAATAATACTCACTAAATTATAACAACTGTGGCAAAGTCTAACAAGTTTGTGGGTTATTATTGACGAATAATGAAGGTTAATTTAGCCTTATTGCGATAACTTAAAATAGATTTATTGGATTTATTTTAATAGAAATTAATTATATAACAAAGTAAATAAACACTTTCTAATATAATTCTCATTATTTTATTTTCATTTCAGGTATACAACAGTATCTGTACGAAAATGGGCGTATCGACAACATATTTACAGACCCGTACTACGAACGCTTCACTGATTGCTTAGATGAAGTTGCAAGAAAGTTTTCGGTTTTGTATAATGATTCACGTAAGTATGGGAATTTGTTAAAGATATTTAAAAGCAAAGGCATTAATTTAAGCGCAAAATCTGTTAAGTTATCGGACGTGAATTTATATTTAAAATAATGTACAGATCATGGGCTGGGTTTGGAATTGGGAGAATATCAAAAATTATTTCAGTAAAATTTCTATAATTCAACTTTTCGTGTTATGGAGGTTAAAGAAAAAAATGAAATCATAGGGTTTAGTTTATTATTATTAAATCTCAAATTTTGAATAAATATATATTGTCAAAAGTAAATATTTATACTCCATTATTGGTGAATAGTAATAACATCTTCTTATAATTGAAGAGATTTTGCAAGTATGTGATTGCGTTATTCTCGAAAATAAATTAATCACTGACATTAGACATTAATATCGATTTGTAGAGATCGACTTTCAAAACTTCGACTTGTAAAGGAAAGGGTTACCTCTCAGGTGAAGAATGTTTATTATTCGGATTGTAGAGGTTAACGCCTTTAAGATGAACGGACGAAAATATTGCAATGAGTTAGAGAAATTGCAAATGAGTTATAAAAATTTTATTGTATATACTTCTTTCTATATATATATACATTTTTTTTATTAGACAATAATTGAAACTGATTACGTAATCCTAAAATAATACTTCTGGTCTTAACAGATATTATGCATCTATTATCATATAGCCTTTACTTTTATATATAGAATGCACAACATTTTATTTTAATTTTATTGCAAAAACTTCAATTTTCTTTAACAGAATACATTGTTACACGTGTTGAAGAAGAACATTTGTGGGAATGCAAGCAATTGGGGGCACATTCTCCACATGTTCTGCTCAGTACTTTGATGTTTTTCAATACAAAACACTTTAATTTGACTGTAAGTAATTTTCAATTAATTTGTAGAAACTATTTAAAATATGACGAACTATTATTTTTAGACTGTTGAGGAGCACATGCAATTATCATTTTCGCATATCATGAAGCATTGGAAGCGTTCGGCGCAAGCTACCAAAGCACCAGGCACACGTAATGTCCTTCTACGTTTTTATCCGCCGCAAGCTGGACTTGGTAAGTAATAAACATTTATATTTTTTTGGTGGCCAACTACTTTACTATTAATTTTGTTAACATATTAACACAGTACTGTTACTTCTTGTACGTGGTATCTAATTTAAATCAGATCTAATTTAAGTCAGTTCTGAAGACTTTTAGTTATGTAAGGTAGTATACGAAACAATAGTTGATCTAAGAGTTGTAATAATCAAGTTTAATGATCAACATCGGCACAATCAAATATTACTTCTACTTCTATTAAATACTATTCAGTGCATTGTCTCTTTTTTTTTCTACTACCTTTTGCTATTTTTCGACTCGAATCATTATTTTTTTGTTATAAAAAAAAGAAATTAATATGTGCCAATAAATATGGTACAGTTCTTTTTCAAGTTAACGCCAGCAAGAAAAGACAGTGAATGCATCAAAATTGCTTAACCAAGGGCCCTTTTTTCGATATCCATCTTTAGTCGCATAAATTGTTGTCAATATAGATTACAATCCATCGTTCGGTCAGGCAGAAGTGATTCATATTGCATGATACCTTTCGAGTCCCATCAAATATATAGCATTTTTCTTCTCATTATCGTCAATCATTATCATCATCATATGCTAATCTATAAGTTATATGTTGCAAGTGTATCATATATTAATATATCAGAAGTATAAAAATAGTTTTGTATTTTGATTCTTATCAGCTTACAGACCCGAACAATTAAACGCATTTATTTAAAAATGTTGGCAAATATTTCGTTCTTTATTAAGAACTTCATCAGTGCTATATAATAACAAACATTAATTTAAAGATAAAATACTAACATCCAAATATATATACCCTTTTTTTTATAAAATGCAATAATTTTCCTGTTCCACAATAGTCATTAGTAATTAAAATTGTATTAACAAATAAAAATAAAAAATTAAAACAATTAAAATTCACATATTAAAAATTAATAAACAATTTTTGGACATAAATAACGAGCATAACAAAACTAAAAAATTTTTTTAATAATAATATTCCGCCAAAAATATTGATAATAATAAACGTTCTCTTTTTTATATCTCTTATTACTCAATAAGAAGCTTAACAGCTGACTTTTATTTTCATTTATCTCTTATTTTTGATTAGCTTGTATTTATCCAATAAATTAGAGTAAAGTGTACTAAAATTATCCGTGTCTCTCTTGTAGTTTACCACCTGTTCATTATTTAATATGATGTGAATAACTTCACTCATTAATCTTTTATGATAATTATTTTCAATTTCCAGAATTATTACTTCATCAAAGTTAAAGCTATGTCCTTTAGAAATAGAATGTTCAGAAAGAGCTGTTTTTTTCCCATCATCTTTACGTTTACACGTACTTTTATGTTCACCAACTCTTTTTGCCAATCTTTGTTTGGTTGTGCCTATATAAGCTCTATTGCAATCATTACAATTGATCTTATAAATAAGATTTGACAAATTTTCTTTCTTTTCTTTGTCTTTAATCTTTGAGAATAAATTTCCTGTTGTTTTCAAGTTGTAAAGTACAATATCAATTATTTCCTCTTGTTTAAATAATTTTGATATTTTTTGAGAGAGTCCCGGTATATTAGGGAACTTACATCTAGGTTTATTGTTATTGACATTGTCAACTGTATTTTTTGATGTTTTTGTGCATTTATAGGACAGAAAGATTTTATTTATAAAATACTTAGGATAATTATTATTCATAAGTATCTGTCTAATTTGTTTCTTGTTATCATCCATAAACTTGTCATCACTGAGACTTGTAACTCTGCTAATCAAGTTTCTAACCGTATTAATTTTTTGGTGAATTGGGTGGTCTGATAGAAAATTAAGTAACCTTCCCGATGATGTAGGTTTCATATACCAGTTTGTAATAACTTTATTATTGTCCGATCTTATCACCATTATATCTAAAAACGGTATTGTTCCATTGCATTCAATCTCATACGTGAATTGAATACTCGAATTTATATTATTAAAAATCTCTACTGTCTTCTCTACCTCTTCTTTTGGTATTGCAAAAAGAGTATCATCTACATAATACATTGCCAATTTTACTTCATATGGTAATTTTTCCAAAACATTTGATATGATAATTTCCATAATAAAATTAGCTAATGATGGTGAAGATGGGTTTCCCATTGATGTTCCATCCAATTGGTGTATAATTTTGTGATTGAATTTGAAGAAACTGTTGTCAAAAAAAAAGTTTATGGATGATAACAAGAAACAAATTAGACAGATACTTATGAATAATAATTATCCTAAGTATTTTATAAATAAAATCTTTCTGTCCTATAAATGCACAAAAACATCAAAAAATACAGTTGACAATGTCAATAACAATAAACCTAGATGTAAGTTCCCTAATATACCGGGACTCTCTCAAAAAATTTCAAAATTATTTAAACAAGAGGAAATAATTGATATTGTACTTTACAACTTGAAAACAACAGGAAATTTATTCTCAAAGATTAAAGACAAAGAAAAGAAAGAAAATTTGTCAAATCTTATTTATAAGATCAATTGTAATGATTGCAATAGAGCTTATATAGGAACAACCAAACAAAGATTGGCAAAAAGAGTTGGTGAACATAAAAGTACGTGTAAACGTAAAGATGATGGGAAAAAAACAGCTCTTTCTGAACATTCTATGTCTAAAGGACATAGCTTTAACTTTGATAAAGTAATAATTCTGGAAATTGAAAATAATTATCATAAAAGATTAATGAGTGAAGTTATTCACATCATATTAAATAATGAACAGGTGGTAAACTACAAGAGAGACACGGATAATTTTAGCACACTTTACTCTAATTTATTGGATAAATACAAGCTAATCAAAAATAAGAGATAAATGAAAATAAAAGTCAGCTGTTAAGTTTCTTATTGAGTAATAAGAGATATAAAAAAGAGAACGTTTATTATTATCAATATTTTTGGCGGAATATTAATATTAAAAAAATTTTTTAGTTTTGTTATGCTCGTTATTTATGTCCAAAAATTGTTTATTAATTTTTAATGTGTGAATTTTAATTGTTTTAATTTTTTATTTTTATTGGTTAATACAATTTTAATTACTAATGACTATTGTGGAACAGGAAAATTATTGCATTTTATAAAAAATAAGGTATATATATTTGGATGTTAGTATTTTATCTTTAAATTAATGTTTGTTATTATATAGCACTGATGAAGTTCTTAATAAAGAACGAAATATTTGCCAACATTTTTAAATAAATGCGTTTAATTGTTCGGGTCTGTAAGCTGATAAGAATCAAAATACAAAACAAAAAAAATTTAAACAGACGATAAACTCCATCATATCAGTATAAAAATAGCACATCAACTAACCTTAGGTTCGGCTGCACAAAAATGCAATACAAGTAATCGATGATTCGCGCGTGTTCTATTAAAATTTTAGACCTTCTTGATTTTGATCCGAATTCAGTTTAGTATCTTCCATTGCCACTTCTGTGTGACACTATTTTCGCATATATTACTAATTTCAGTTAACTCTCAACACCCACATAATTTCAAAATTAATCGCACGTAATGATGACCAAACTTACACATTTAGATAGTATATGGAAAGAGTAGTACTGTAATATAGAAGAGTAGTGGTAAGGTAAAGGGGAAGATGAAAATGGTCACCTTAATATTATGGTTAATGCCATAAATCAATAAATTTGTATATGCACTTGAACATGAAAGTAAAGCTGCGGTGGGCTATATATTTGGGGCGTAGATATTTATGCGTCACAAGGAACTGTTTACCATATGACTATGTTCATACAAGTCTTGCAGGGTGTGAGGGACATTTTACATCCTCCAAAAATTTTAGACTGGGACCTGGAATATATTGTTTGGAGGATTGATACTTGGAGGTTCTTGCTGATACTTGACTTAATATGATACGAAGAAAAGACTTAACATAAGTTATATGAAACCAGGACTTACGAACTGTAGCGCAATGGATGTAAGAATGGTAAACCTGTAACATGCGATGACAGCTGGTTTAAAATCAATGATGATTATTAGTGAATTCTCTATACCTTCATGCTACCTATATCATTTAACAATGATCTTTACCAATGGTGCTCCTGGTAAATGTAATAAAACTTAAACTTGACAATTTGTGCGATTACACCCAAAAATAATATTTAACGTAATTAAGTATTCAATTCAATTCAAGAACTTTCATCTACATATATATCACCTGGCGGGTTTTCAATGTACTGACTTTGAAAAGTTATAAATTAATAAGTTTTTCAATGATGGTAATCCCAGATATTAACTCTAAATAAAAATTTTGGACTATGTGTTCCTCCTTATCTAGTATATCATACAGTTTGATTCAGCGGTTTTGCTAGTAATTTGATTTAAACATTTATTTGATATGGTATTTGGTATGGATCATCCACATTTTAAAAACCCTTTTCTGTAGAGATTATGTAGTATTAATATCATGCAGATCGATTCAACGGTTTAGGATTGATACAAACAAAAAACAAGATTTTTAAATTTATATATAAATTGACAAAATGTTATAATTTTCTAATCTTTTGTATATTATTTTATATTACAGAAGCTAATCCTCGTAAAAAGAAAGTGTATGAACAGCAAGAGAACGAAGAAAATCCTCTACGTTGCCCTGTTCGTTTATACGAATTTTATCTTTCAAAATGGTAAGGATTTTCTTAATGTAATAATTGAAATTTCTACAAGTAATACGAAATAATTATTTTTACAGTCCTGAAAGCGTTAAAACTCGTAATGATGTCTTTTATTTGCAACCAGAACGTTCCTGTGTGCCGGACTCACCTGTCTGGTATTCAACGCAAGCCCTTAGTAAAGAATCATTACAGAAAATGTTACATCGCGTTAAAATGGTCAAGGAGATAAACATTGCGCTCTTGACAAGCTAATCTAGCAATTGTTTTAACATCTCTCACATTCACACACAATCAAATTTAATGCAAAAATCTACATATAACAGAAACAATCCATAATGATAAATGCTTTCATTGTGTCAGTCGCTACAAGCGTTAGCAGTAAAGCAAATAATTCTTTTGACTTTAAAACGTAATATTTAAATGCAATAAGCAAATATAAAATTCGCTAATACGAATTAATATATTAATAGTTTGACAGTGACATGTGTATTTATTTTAGAAGTCACAGACTAAGGCTTAGCTACATTTTTATTGTGTAAATTTTAAACTATAACCTGAACTTAATTAAATATTATGTATTGTTTTTCGAACTAATTTTCAACAAATTATTGCCACACAAATTTCATTGCAGTATATCAAATTAAAATTTAAAATATAATATAAAAAAATTATGATGAATTAACTGTATAGTCTAAGATTAGATTAAAGCATGATTTATAAAATTCAATTTGTTTTGTACATTTTCAAATATTAAAACAAAAACAAAAATCACAAAAAAAATCCTTACATTGCAAAACATATAAAATTAATTACAATATAAAAAACTATCTAAATTGACTATACTTTTAAAATCCGTACTCTATTATTATGGACGTTGTTAAATGTTTTATATCTAAAATAATTTTTTTTTATTTAAATTGAATTGTAATAAAACAATAAAACAAAAACTTATAAATTCACAACACAATTTTTTATATATTCTTAAATATTAAGAAAAAAAACAATGTTTCTAAAATATAAATTTATAATAAGGGTTCAAATACAAATTATAAAAAAATTAATTATATATAGTAAATATTTTGGAATTTAGAAATAAGTAAAAATTATAGAATTATAATATATATGTAAAAAGTATGTACGCATATTAAAGAATTCAATAAGTAAAACAAAGGGTATATATTTTTAACACATGAAATTGATTCGGATAGGAATGTATGTATAAAGAAATTGTTTTTAAAAATGTATAATTTTCTTATTAAAAGATAATAGATATTATATTCTTTCATACATAATGTGTGACAGACCTGTCCTCAATGATGCAATTAACACCAAATCTTCATTGGATATTCACGACAATATCAAAAAATCGCTTTTATTGTAAGTAAAATATTTTTTTATTTTTATATATAATATTTTTTAATATTGTTACATTTTATTATTATAGTTCTATATATACATGTTTATCTTATAACATCCATAGTTTTAATGTCAATAACGCGAAGTAAATATTAATCTAATCTTGAAAATTTAGAAATTGGCGAATTTGTCTGCGTCACAAAATGTACCCTAAATTTAAAACAATGGATTGATTATATTATTTTTCGCAATTTAAATACAAAAATAAGTGGGAATTAAAATAAACGCAGTTATAAGAATACGTATTAGAAGCTTAATATAAATAAACTCAGTTATAAGAATAAGAAAAAGAAAAATGCTTATACAAAATAATATAATATAAAAAAGCAGATTTTCGCGAGATTACAAACGTTACCATTCCGCATCACCGTTTGATTTTTGAAAAACATAATCCTTCCCAGCTATATTCATAATACCATCTTTAAGGTAGAATTTCCATTTATTACGCGAACGTGTTATCTACATAAAATATTAAAATGTATGAAATATATATTATCCATATCATATATATAATTTGTTTAATTACCTTATCGTATTGACAAACAATGACATTATCAGTATCGAAAAGATCAGTGGAGTCCTCATCACTCACATCATCTCCGCTGTTAAGTGGTTCTTCTTCAGCTCCATCTTCATTTTCTATATCTTCGTCTTCATCCTTATCAATATCCTCATCGTCTTCATCAATATTGTCATCACTAACATCGCTTTCCTCTTCATCTGTAGTATCCACCAGTTGACCATCAAGTTGTTTTGATGGATTAAACTCTAAAAATAAAAAATAAGTTAAATGAAATAAGGTAAAAGCAAAGAAAACATAAGCAAATGCTAATTTGTGGAGGCATAAAGGATACAGTAATAAATAGAAAAAGACACAAAAGATTCCAATCTGAATTTTTTAGATGACTAAATTATTTTGAACTGGACGTACTTTTCTATCATACATGTAAAAGTTGTCATGCACAAAATACAAAACGAGAAACAATATATTTAAAAATAGCGGTCAGAAAAGGTTCACTACGATATGCACCAAAGTATTGTATGGCAATTTCTTAAAGTTGCAACACGGTATATTAAGATTATATGTTGAATCGGCTTTTCATAGGATAATTGTGCAGAAATCTTTTGAAAGCCGTAAGGAAGTTGTGTGCCACTTCTGGTCAACTCATAAGCTTCTTAGTTGCCAGGAATATCCGTATAGGAAGAAAACGATTAGACGTAAAATATATCGACATCTCATCATAAAATTTACGACACTTCAAATCAAGTTCAGGTATTGCATAGACACCAGCACGGGCATAATTGCCGATTGGCTGTCACCAAAAATGTAAACATTTCTCTCAAATATTTATTATGAAGAAGTCACCTTATTTCGAAATGGAGTAACTTCTGACCTGAAAAAATATAATAACAATTTAGGTGAGTTTGTTATTATAATAACTTGTATTTATTTTTAATTCCTCGTCAGTATATGAGGAGAGAAATTATAATCCAGCAAAGAAGGTATGACATCGTATTAATACAAATAACAGTTTTTTACGAAGTTATACGATGACTGCAATTGGATAAGGACCGTTATTGCTACAGGAGGCCGACGTTTTTCGTCTTTAAGAAATTTATGCCGAAAGTGTGTTGAGAATGTCCCTGTGATCCTAACGAGGTGGTCTCGAACAGTGTTATGAGCTGTGGCTATTTTGTGACGACATTGGACATTGTTAAACTGGGTATTTAGTATATTGGACGGCCACTTTATTATAGAAAGCTAAGAAGTTTGCTTCCAATATAAAACTGTATATTTTAGCACACAAATCCTGTTTAGATAAACAAATAGTTATCAAAATAACTGAAGAAAATTACACACACAGAGGTGCCAGATAAAACCCATCCTTTATAACGGGCTATATATCAATATTCTACGATTTAGTTGAATGCGTTCTTGGTGTAAAAATGTAGTAATAAAACAAAGAAGAATTAATATTTCTTAACAAATATATGATTTTGGAATCTATCTTTGTTACTTTAAAGAATAGTAAATATATTTTTGGAATGTAGTTTAATTATAGACTAGAGTCCATAAATTTTGGTGTTACATCAAATTTGTAGTAAATGGTCGTATACAGTTATGATTTATTAATCTTGTGTTTTTTGATTGATTTGTATTGCATCTTAAATATAGCAAGTAGATATAGTGAAAGGTTTTTACATTCAATATGCTTAAATAAATAAATAAGATTATAAATTAACTATTATAAGGAAACTACTTACTTTGTATACTAAGATTTTGTAGCGCCGCTGTAACGTGTTGTTGTAGCACAGAATTAGCCAAAGTTGTTGGCAAAGATATAATAGATGATATTAGCTGCGCAGTTAAGATTTGTGTAAGTTGGTTTTCTTGCAAGGCTGAGGCTGGCACATGTATAGTAAGTACGCGCGGTTCCGTGTTATGGGTTCCGGGTTGAGCAGGTAAAGTAATCTGGAAGAAAACAAATTTACAAAAAACAAATTTAAAAAAAATATGCTTTTATAATTAAAAAATATAAAATGATTGTTATATGCACTAAACTTACATTAACGGGCATAATTCGACATGGATCTAGTGCGGCGACAATTGGCAAGGGACCAGTGGCTGATGTTTGTTGTTGTGCTGTTAAAGGACCATTCGTTAGATGTGATGTCTGAGGTACATTTATTTTTTGTTGCTGTTGTTGCAAAATCGTTGCACCAACAGAATTTGTTTGCAATGCTGTTGGATTCGAATCATTTTTATTATTTGTACCGTTGATCATACCTGAAATACTATTTCCAGACGAATTAGTCAATCCGACTGTTGCGCCTCCTGTTGATCCAGCATTGCCGGCAATACCTGGTTTTATATCCAAATTTGTGGTTGCAGAATTAGTTGTTGCTATTGCTGAAGAATTGTTATGTTGAGCAGCTGCAGCAATAGCTGCTTGTCTTTTAGCTTTAGCCGCAGAGGCCTAGTAAATGTAAAAACATTATTAAAAAAAGGTTCATATAAATTTCAATAACATTGCACACAACTGAAAATTAAAGTGCAACATGCAATAATGCCCAAGTGATTAATGTATTTGTTTGTAATGAGTATTTTTTATTTAACACTTCGTTCAATAATGTGTGTGACTGACACTTAGATGGCGGCACTAATACTAAATAAATATTTTTTTTTTGAAAGTGGCAACCTTTTTAGGCTTACTGTCAAAATCATATGTTAATCCGACCATTTGTTTACAAGTTACAGTGCTTTAAGTGACGCTACTTTTGAGTTTTCAAAAAAAAAATGAATTCAAAGCAATTCCGTGTGCTGATTTATCATTGTTTCTTAATGAAAAAAAATACTGTTTAATGCCACGAATGGCTTAAAAAACATTATTCGGACTCTGCTCCATCAAAAAGAAGCATTTGTTTTTGGTATGCCGAATTCAAACGTGGTCGTACAGACACCAATGACATTCCATCTACTGGACGGCCAAATGACGCTGTTATTCCGGAAAACGTTGAAAAAACACTGAAAATCATTATGACCGACTGTAAAGTGAAAGTGAGGGAGATTGGTGAAATTCTACAGATATCAACAGGCAGTATACACACCATAATACACGAACATTTGGGTATGAAAAAGGTGTTTTCCAAATGGGTGCCGCGTTTGCTCACACCGGAACAAAAACAACAACGAATCGATGATTCAAAGAGCTGTTTGGACACGTTTACGCGCAATAAGTCGGAGTTTTTGCGTCGGTACATCACGATGGATGAAACCTGGATCCACCATTTCACTCCAGAGTCAAATCGGCAGTCTGCTGAGTGGCATGCAGCCGGTGAAAGCCGCCCAAAGCGACCAAAAACGCAGCAGTTGGCTGGCAAGGTTATGGCGTCTGTATTTTGGGATGCGCATGGAATAATATTCATCGACTATCTCCAGAAGGGGAAGACCATTAACAGCGACTATTATATAGCGTTATTGGAGCGTTTGAAAGACGAAATCGCAAAGAAACGGCCTCATATGGCGAAAACAGTTTTGTTCCACCAAGACAATGCACCGTGTTACAAGTCGATGAAAACGATGGCAAAATTGAACGAATTGAGCTACGAATTGCTGTCGCACCCATCGTATTCTCCAGATCTGGCCCCCAGCGACTACTGGCTCTTCGCAGACCTCAAAAAGATGCTCCGTGGTAAGAGATTTGGCTCAAATGATGAAGTAATCGCCGAAACTAACGCCTATTTTGAAGGCAAAGAAAAATCGTTTTACAAAGGCGGTATCGAAAGATTGCAAAAGCGCTGGAATGATTGTATCCCCCTAAAAGGGGACTATGTTGATGAATAAAAACGAATTTTGGTAAAAAAAATGTGTTTTAATTAGTTAGTCACACACATTATTGAACGAAGTGTTATAAGAGCATCTAGAATCATATCCTCCAGAAATGAGTTCCTCTTAATACAGTTAACTAACTATCTAGTCATCGATTTAACTTGTACATTCATGGTATATGATATATTCATTTCGAAGTAGCGAACAGTTTTTGATGTTTGAAGGCTTATCAAATGGAACAAAATATTATTTCTAAGTATAGAACAGCATTATTAGTAGCCCACTATTATTATTAGTCATAATGTCGAATATGTCAGAACAATGTTAGCTATATATAATGTATGTGCTTAGCTAGATAATTAAATAGTTCGTTTTTCTGATTACACCCTAAAATTTTAAACATAGGAAAAAGCATGGATTCATATTTCGTAAACACACAAGCTATTGCATGGATGGCTCTTCGGTTTTTATTTTAGGGTTCTGATTTATATGACGAGTATTTTTTATTGTGAAGTCTCAATTAGTAATGACAGATTATATTTGTGTTAAAACAACTGGTTAAGTTGTTAAGACAATTTGAAAAAGAGTCCCAAATGAATGTGTATCTAAAAAAATCTGTTCTAATTATAATCAAAACAGTGAACTGTTACAAAACTTCGATATAAAATAGTTAGTCAACTGACTAACTATCACAATCCTGTGACTTAAGAGCAAAATAAAATAGCGATGGTAGGATAGAATAGAGAGAGTATTTTCTATGGTTGAAGCAAGTGTATGCTGGACTCATTTAAAAATAAAATATTGTTCTCAATAGTTAAAAAGAAGTTAAATATCTGTAGGGACTGAACTACAACCAATCCTAAAGTTCGGAATTTTTAATAGAAGTACAGAAAACCGATGACGTGAATGAAATAACACTTTACACACACCGCAGAAAGCATCACTTTTAAGTTTCTAGATTGGAGTTAAGTTAATGAAAACATCCAGTAAAAAAAATCTAAATTCTAAACTCAGTCTATATAGGTATATTTTAAATAAGGCAGAAAAAATCGCTTGCTATTCTTTGTATATGTGGATCAAATCTCAGAATCTAGTTTGGAAAATCAAAATTCAAAATCAAGTAATTTACACAGAAAAATTCACGTTTTTAAATGCGCCTTCATTTTCTAAGACGATCGGCTGTGACGCCTTTAAAATTTATGACTGTAATAACGATTTCATGTAAACATATCGGATTTTCTTCAGGTAGATATACTAAATGCCCACTTCTTTCGCCTTCTACTTGTTTTGGAAGAACATACTCTATTTTCAAGCTCTTGAGACGAGTTTAATGAAAGCACAAGCATTCGATGGCACTGTCTCCCAGAAGTTATAGCATAATTGGGTCGGTTAATTACATTTAACCTATTTGTGTTTAAATTACAGCACCGAGCCCTGGGCTCCCTAAGTCGATTAACGATATGCTCAATACAATTTTTAATGGAGTTATAAGTTATCTGCTGAGTTCACTCAGACATACTGAACGATCGAATAAAAATCATGCACACATGTGTTGTTTTTAATGAAATTCGTGTTGATATAAATAATAATTAATTAACAATATTTAATTACCTTTGATGGCTGCATCCACCAGCGTTTGCAAAATGACGTTTACAAATGCCCATTCGAATGCAAAAATAATTTAATAATTGGTAATAAAATATGTTTGTAGTATAAGCGATGAAGGTGATGACATAGTTAAAGTAAAGAACATATGCGATGCAATTTATAATGCAAAATTTGTTTATTGTTTATCGTTTGATCAGCATCAAATTGTTGTTGGTTTTGTACATAAACAGCATTTATTTTACGACAGCAGCACATTGGACAACACGAAGCATTTCAAAAATTAAAAATAAATAAAAACATGAAAAACAATTATTAAATATAATCAATAATGTTTTCCTTTCAATTTTTCCACTTACAAGAGGATTAACAAAAGTTCGCTTAGTCATCTTCAAAAAAAAAAAAAAAAATGTCAAAAATAACTGATTTTTCATAACTTGGAACATCATCATTTCTTGCTTTTCAACATTTTTGAAATCGGTAGATCCACTCTCTAAGAAAACCATACCCAAAATCATGCCTCACAATTGTCGAAGATCCTTTTCTTCATATGCTTTTTATGTTTGGAAACAACTCGAACTCACACGACGCTATATTTGGGGAGTATGGTGTGCTGGTGATCGGGATCAGAAAGTATCTCACAGCTCTTTTTGTTTTGGTTTCTCAACCAATTTTCGAGAACTTGTGATAAGTACGTTTCAGTATATCTTTTGACAGTTAGAGTCTCTCCAATCTTTCTAGGAATATTATCTGTTGGGAGTTCAAGCGTTTGAAGCCACTACCAAGCAAAAAGAAAACAAATTAAAAGAAAGACAACCGACTCGGTCAAGTGTCAGAAATCAACAGAACTTCTTTATTAAATTCAAAAGTAATTCACACAATTTTGGGGTTGCCAAGTGCAACAAAAATAAAAAGTATTAAAAAAAATTATGTTAGGGTTATAAATTAGAAATTGGGCAAGTGTGAGAACAACAAGATCTTCAGGACATTCTGAAAGTGGGAAGAGCGGACAAGAGTTAATGATGGCAGCAATTTGACAAACCAATGTGCGTAGTTCATCAAAATTAAAGATTGTAAGGCCAATTGCTCGGCAGAAGTGCCATTTCGCTGTTTTTATGGCAAATTCTCACAGGAAACTGAAATGTGGCGATCCAGAAGGTACAAACTTTCATTCTATACTGTCGCTAAGACATTGATGTTGTAACTGCTCACGATGTTTTTGAGAAGAAACGTCTTCTAAGCTCAGCAAGTTAAACTTTCTAATTGGTACTCCATTAACATCTATCATTGAGCCTGACACTACAATCTTG